TTAGTTAAGGGGGGAAGTACTAAATTTGATCTTAGAAAAATAACCATAAATTTTGGTGGCGACTGTGGTTTACTGAATTCTGCCAAAGGCCAACTTTCCCGTCAAAAGTCAGACAGCTTCAAGCTGGAGTCTCGGTGTACAGATCGGCTTATACTTCATGTCTTGGGGTGTATATTTTGATAAGATAAAACCATAAAGTCTGCTTTTCTTGTGAAGTTGTATAGAGTTATGATTCATCAAAGACATAATTTGGGTAGAGAATATGACAAATCAAAAATGTGGACCTGCAAGATATTGTACCAGTGTAGAATTATGAGGGACAGTTTTTTATGTGTGAAAGTTGAGTCTTACTCTAAGTATTGTTACCTTCCAAGATCAGTGGAACATTTGGGGAATTACGGACAGAAAATGTGTAAAAAAAAAAACACAGTAAAATTTGCAATGAAGCTAAATGTGGCATCTGTAGAGCTCATGTTTTTCAGCCTTGGAAACTGGGATATCCACTTTCTTATGGATAAGTGTGTTGGGTTCTTTTACGTGTAGATGTGTGATGGGCTAAATGCATTAACTTTTAAAAGTAGAAGAGTTGGAAAATCATGCTATGTTTTTCTACATATGTTTACAATTGCAAAGTCTCCTCTTAAAACATCTTCAATGTACTACTACTTACACTTTGACCTTTGCCCTCGGGTCCCTTACAAGGGGTCACCACCATTCAACATCTAAATGTATTAAGTTTTTTTAACTTAAGTAGAAGAGTTGGAAAATCATGCTATATTTCGTCTGTCTATGAAGTCTGTTCATGAAATATCCAAAGATAGATATTAATTTTAAAACTTCTAATCTATTGTACACCTCTTCAGAAAACTACTTATACACTTTGACCTTTGCCCTCAGGGGTCAGAACGGCCCCCCTTACGAGGGGTCGCCGCCGTTCAAGCGCCACCGCCTGCCGAGCCCGTCCTCCTCGGTGCGCGTACAGCCGGCGTACCAGAACGGGCCGGACCAGGGCCGGTTTGTCCTGGGGACCAGTCAGTACGCCACACCGGTGTACGCAGTGCATGGACAGAGAACACACCATGGACAGGTGAGGCCTTCGCAATGTTTGCCTTTGGGTGTAACAAAGTTTTGTACAGTAAGACCAGACTGTTTTTGAACCACTCATACTGGTTTGTCCTGGGCACCAGTCAGTACGCCACTCCGGTGTATGCAGTACACGGACAGAGAACACATCATGGACAGGTGAGGCCTTCACAATGTTCGCATAACCGCCTTAAGTTTTGTACAGTAAGACCAGACTGTAACTGTTTTTGAACCACTCACACCGGTTTGTCCTGGGCACCAGTCAGTACGCCACTCCGGTGTATGCTGTACATGGGCAGAGAACACATCATGGACAGGTTAGTCTTAATTACCTTCGCCAAGAAGGTTATGTTTTCAGAGGCGTTCGTGTATGTGTGTGTGTGTGTGTGTGTCTGTCTGTCTGTCTGTCTGTCTGTCAACACGATAACTTGAGAAGGCCTTGATGGATTGTCTTGATACTTGGTAGGTGGGTAGGTCTTGATGAGACCTCAAAATGATTAGATTTTGGACCCCCTAGCGGCTTGTTATGGTACTGCAGCTGAACTTCCGGTTTTGATATCTCATGATCTAGACATGTTATGGTGATGAAATTTGGGTGGTAGGTAGCTCTTGTGCTAGGGAAGAAGTGACGTGAGTTTGGGCCCCCTAGTGGCTTGCTCTGGAACTGCAGGGATATATTCTTGAAAATATTCAAAAGAGGATAACTCAATAACCGGTTGATGGATCGTCGTGATTTTTGGTATGTAGGTAGCTTACGTGATGCTTAATATAATTATGTGACAATTATGCAAATATGGATGTAATTTGCATAATTTATGGGGAAATTCTATAAATCAGCTGCATTCCATAATAAGACAATTGAAGCTTGTGACATTGGTAATTGACAACGAGAGAAACACAGGCAGATATTGATTATGTTAATAATGACTTAATTTGCATAATTAATGAGAAAATTTTTATAATTATGTAATGATAACTGCCTGTAATTTCATACTTATGGTATTTGAAAGTTAAGTTGAGGTGAACNTGGTATGTAGGTAGCTTACGTGATGCTTAATATAATTATGTGACAATTATGCAAATATGGATGTAATTTGCATAATTTATGGGGAAATTCTATAAATCAGCTGCATTCCATAATAAGACAATTGAAGCTTGTGACATTGGTAATTGACAACGAGAGAAACACAGGCAGATATTGATTATGTTAATAATGACTTAATTTGCATAATTAATGAGAAAATTTTATAATTATGTAATGATAACTGCCTGTAATTTCATACTTATGGTATTTGAAAGTTAAGTTGAGGTGAACATCATTAAACATAATTTATTCAAATCAGGACCTCATTTGCATAATTTATTAGGAAATACTAGAATGCCTTGTTTGTTTATATAAGACTGTCTTTTGGTTGAGATTATGATAAAATGATATAATTCGTGAAAATTAGGTTCCTATTTCTTAAATCAGGGGGGAATAATCTAATCTATAATTTGTCAGTCATTTGGCGAAGGTATGAGATCGGGGAACTCTAGTATTAATTTAGTATAGTGAAGGCCGCACTGATTTAATTTTATGGATGACATCCAAGGGTGCATTGATTTTCGCCTTTTTATTATTTTTTTTTAATTTAAAAAAAAAAAAGAATCACTTCCGATGAGGCTCTGGCCTGGGTGTCATCCTCCGTAATGCTAGTGACAATAGGAAGCAAACAGTAACTACAGAGGATGGCATCCAGGGTATACGCAGTGCACGGGCAGAGAACACACCATGGACAGGTGAGACCTTCGCAGTTTTTGTTTGTTTTGCATAACCGGTAGACTGCCTTTAGGTTTTGTACTGTAAGTAATACAAGCTGCCTTTAGATTTCAAAACCAGTGCATTGACAATGGCTGTATGGTTTTTGTTTTCTGTATTGTCTGTTAATAATATGTTATCACCTAAGAAGTGTAATAGATATAATCGTTTAGCAATGATGAATCTGAAAATTCTGATTCTGAATGTTTTTAGTATGATGCCTACTTTCTCAATTCTGAATGGTGCAAATGAATTCTGTAATTTTCAATGTTACCTGCACCATTATGTATGCAGAAAAGAAAAATTTTTAGCCCTGCAGGCCATTGACCCTGGTGACCCTGCCAGTCTGGTTTGTGTACTGAGGCTGCTGACAGACACGTTTCTTGGACTGTTGCCATCTTTTCTGTGCCTTCTGTGAACTTTATACAGGATGTTTTATTGATGGCAACTGCATGTATAACTATAAATACACAAATGAGCATTAGATAAAAGTAAAGGACATGTAAACATGGTTTTGTCTATTGTCTGCATCCCTCGGAACTGGTAAAAATTTGCCTTGGACTTTAAGGAAGAAACACCCCAGTTTTGTATGTACAAACTATACAAGATGGACTTCAAGTTCAACTGTACCCTCTTAGAAGTTGTCACTAGCTAAAGCTTGGTACTAAATTATGTTTTCATGGGAGTAGAGTGAAAAAAAATTAGGTGTTAAGTGTCTTTCCCCAAGGCACAATTGCTATTGTATAGGGAGGTACTAAATTATTTTTTTCATGGAAGAGGAGTGAAAAGAATTACAAATATATGTTATTAAGTGTCTTTCCCAAGGGCACAATTGCTATAATATAGGGAACTTAATTGAAAGTACACACACTTTTCAATCCTCCATACAGAAATTCTATTTTGTAAGCTTAAAATTGGCATGTGTTCAAGAAACGTGGATAGCAGCTTTGTTTAGACAGGCACAGGCACACACATCACGCTCACAAAAGGTAAATCACACCGTGTCCTTCATCACTTGAACGTGTGGCTGTCCTTGAACTTGTCCCAGCTGGATAAAGCCTGTCGCCTAAAGGCACTGTCTGCAGCGAGGATTACAACATTTCAGGGTAGTAAACTACACACTCCCCACTGTGCCTGGCTCGGTTTGTTTTCATTACCTCCGGTATGAAGGTATTGTTTTGGATGGATGTGTGTGTGTTTGTGTTTAAGGGTTCATTATTTACAGCACAAAGCACCCATCTCAGCATCCCTTACAAATTGCAATACACTTTCCACAATACACATTCTAGATGGATGATTGTCTATGAGCAACGAGCATGTTGTCTAAAACTAAAACTAAGGATAGCCTGAGTGTTAGACTGTTTCCAGGGTCCACACAGGCCAGCTCCTCAGCTCCAGGGCCAACATGCTTGCCTGAGAGCCAGACTGTTTCCAGGGCCTATACAGGCCAGTTCATCAGTTCCAGGGCCATTATGCTCCCAAGGAAACTATACCACAGTCCCCCTCTGTTACTAACTAGTGTTAGGCTAACTTTGGGCCTAGCGTGCAAGGTAGAGAGTCAGTACCATCCCACCCAATGATGAAAAACCTCTTTCTACACATGTCCACAGGAGCTTCCCACAGTGAGTGAGTACCGAGCGTTACCCCATGCTCAACCTCAAGACTACACCCCTCACTACGCCCTGCAAGATATTACATTAATACAAGACACACAAAACATGTACATGTAACACCTTTCCCCATCCCTGTGCCCTACATTTTTGTTTTTTGTTTTGCTACAGAAGCTGCCCACAGTGAGTGCCCACAGTTGTACATGTTGTCCCCATCCCTGTGCCCTACATTTTTGTTTTGTACAGGAGCTTCCCACAGTGAGTGAGTACCGAGCGTTACCCCAGGAGCGCCCACAGGACTACACAGCTCACTACGCTCTGCAAAATATTTCTGTCAAGACACATAAAACATGAAAAAGAATGCCCTACATGTACTTGTATTGTTGTAACACCCTCCGTATCCCTGTATCCTACAGGAGCTGCCCACAGTGAGTGAGTACCGAGCGTTACCCCAGGCGCGCCCGCAGGACTACACACCACACTACGCGCTGCAGCAGGGCCAGCCGCCGGGACAGATGCGCCGCCGACCCTCGCTACTGTCTGAGTTCCAGGGTCATCCAGCCAGCGGAGACAGGTGGGGAGGGTGTCGTGTTGATTTTTTCAAATTCTTTTACCTCCAGGAAGTTTATTCTGTGTATAATAAGATGCCCTTTTTTTAGCCTGATGGCTAGTTTTAGACCAAATAAAAACGTCTGTATACATGTATGTGGTATACAAGGTCAAAATGAAAACATGGTTAGCAATGTTATCTACTAATTTACAGTTATCTTTTTGTGGCTGTGTGTGAGTCTGTGTTTGTGTGTGTGAGTCTGTGAATAGCATAACTTGAGAAGTCGTGGATGGATTGAAATGATATTTGGCATGGAAATAGGTCTTGATAAGACCAGCCTCCTAGAGGATTGTTATGGTACTGCATCAGGGTTTGATTTCTTGTCTTTATCTCCGTTTCAGGCTCCCAGAGTCCCGTCACATGTATGAACGCGGCCACGCCTCCTACCACCTGGGCCACCACGCCCAGTCGGAGCTGTCGGAGGCCCCGCAGCACAAGCGCCCACGGCTCGCGCCCCAGGAAGGCCACGAGGGACCCATTGCCCGCGGCACCGCCCACGCCATCAGCTCAGGCGCTGAGATTGGGTACTCATCCGATCACAGGAGGGTGGGTGCTGATGTGATTTTCTTTGACTCTATGTCTGCCATAGGGCTTTGCAAATCTATTTGCGAACTCATACCCTATGCAAATAGGGAGTACATAGATAATATAACATAAAGTGATTTTAAAAAAATGTCTAGCCTATAGATTTATTTGATGTTTCCGGGTCTGAGATAGGGTACTCATCCAATCACAGGAGGGTGGGTGCTGATTTGTTTTTTTGTCTGCCATAGGGCTTTGCCTATGTCATGTATTTTCCTTATCTATTCATTTGCAAACCTATGCCTGAAGGCTAATTGCAAGGGAATACAGAGATGATATAACATAAAGTAATTTAGAAAAATGTTGAGCTTTTAGATCTATCAGATACTTGTTTATACCTTTTAGATTACACCTAGATGTTTCTAAAAGTTCAGGCTCATTTACATGCAGCTGTGTCAAATTGATTGTGTCCTCATATTTTAGATGTGTCCAGGGCTACATTGTACATGAAAAAACAGGTCATAGATCAATCAATCAATGAAACCCATGCCAAAATAACAGTTACAGAACTCAAGCAACTGGATAGATCTTAAAAATGGTAAGAAGTTTCAGGTAGCATCCTCTACTTTTCATCAGTGACTGAAAGAAATCTGTAGTCTTGAAACATCCAGTTGCTTGAGTAACTGCTGTAACTTTCGTATGGTACTACCTGGATGTTTAATAGCCTGGTTACTAGTAGTAGTAGTAGTAGTAGTAGTAGTAGTAGTAGTAGTAGTACTAGACATACATCCCCCAAGTCCTACATCCTCTCCACAAATAGCTGAGGACTCTGGAGCTATAATAGGTCTGGTAACCAGGCAAAATGTTTAGCCTTCTTTGCCAAATAAAACCCCTTTTTTATTTACCCCAGGGCTCAGCGCTTGTGCCTAAGCTTGAAGCTGTGTCCCCGTCCCGCCAGCCCTCCTGTGTAGAAGAGGGGGGAGGGAAGGACTCACCTTCTAAACTGTCTAAAGAAGAGCTGCTCCAGTCCATGGACAGGGTCGACCGGGAGATCGCTAAGGTGGAGCAGCAGATCAGCAAGCTGCAGAAAAAACAGGTGGGTTTGTGTGTTTGTTTGTTTATTTGAGATCTCCACTAAGGATGCATCACAGTTGCTGGAGTCCATGATATGATAATACGAAGTAGCAAACTGCAGAAGAAACAGGTTTGTTTGTTTGTTTGTGTTTGTTTGTTTGAGATCTCTACACTAGTGATGCATCACAGTTGCTGGAGTCCGTGATATGGCAATATGAAGTAGCAAACTTTAGGAGAAACAGTTGGGTTGAAAATAAAATTTTTAAAAGTAGTACTAGAGTTGGATGTGGACTATTTTAGGAGACTGCATGAAGAATGCAGTGAAACGGCCAAAATGAACAGACATGGCATATGCCAATGTGTTGTTTTTTTTCTGTTGTAAAACTATGTATGTATAAGAATGTATTTATAGTCTATTATGTATATGTGTATATGTTTATGATTTCGATACGACTTCAATTATCATGTAACCTGCATCTTGTAAGATTTTACCTGACCCTGATCTTTTCCCACATAACCTGAGTAAAAAGCTACCAGCAGGCCAATTTGAGTATTTCATGAATACACAAAGGCTCAAACAAACAAACAATGGTGCTGAGTAAAGAGACTCCTTTTACACAAGCAAGTCTTTTATTCTGCCGACGTTTCGAACTTGGTTGTGTGAAAAGAATCTCTTTACTCAGTGTCTTACCAACCTGATGAAACTGTTTACGGAAACAATGTTTCTGTTTCAGGGAGAACTTGAGGAGAAGGCAGCGAAGCCGGATGAACCTGAGGAAGTGGACACCCTGCCAGAACCTAAGGAACCTCGACACCAGAGCATCGTGCAGATTATATATGCTGAGAACAGGGTAGGCTGGGTTTGTTGATTTGTTCCGCTCTACCACTAAACTGTTCATAGTGCATCACACAGTTAAGTACAGGAAAATGAACCCGAAAAACCTCATAACGCCTGAGAGCATCAAGAATCTTGTACAATTCAGTGAATTTCAATAAGTTTACCTCTAAAAAGCTTTGAGACAAATGTTTCAAACTTCGTATTTAAAAAAGAAAATTCCAATACAATCTTGATTTAGTATTCTGTTTGAATGAAATAATTTTTCTTCTTTTTTCTCCAGAAAAAAGCTGAGGCTGCTCACAAGATTCTGGAAGGACTTGGTCCCAAGATTGACCTGGTAAGTTTTTTGCTTCCCTGTCTGTTGTCGCCTAAAAGGTGGTTTACTTGTTATGCGAAATAAACAAATTAGAGGCCAAATATAAAGCAGCACACACAGAGATAAGTGTATTCGAGCTCTGTATCACTGGAATTTTGATTAAGTTCAAAAATGATAATATCTTTGCTTGTCTTTCCCAGCCCCTCTACAACCAGCCATCAGACACACAGGTTTATCATGACAACATCAAAACGTACGTATCTTCTGTTTGCACTGATCAGAATGATATTTTTTTATTTCAACTTCTTTTTATTTCAGAATATATCCCACTTTTGAAATATGTAGTCCATGCAGATATCTTATGCCAATTTGCATTTAAAAGTGCAGGGTATTCTCATAAGAAATGCCATGTCTTCCCGCAGGCACCAAGCCATGAAGAAGAAGCTTCTTCTGTACTTCAAGAGAAGACACCACATGAGGAAGTTAAGGGTAAGGTTGTCATTTCTGGGCACTAAGCTAAGCTGGTGAAAAGTATAGACTATGCTTGAAGATGGCGATGAATTCTGGCTCTGAATCTGAAGGCTTGTGGGTTGTCTTCAGGAAGGAAACACTTGTCAGTTCTATAATTTTGCAGTCAATGGAAAGAAGCTGTTGCTATAGAAGGACTTAGAGACTGGCATTTGGACCGTGTAATAGAGTTGGAAGAGAACCTACCGGTAGTGGTAGACCTTGGAGTACTTTGAATCACTTAATGTTTGCCGTAAAAAATAAACATGTTCACGGTGGCGGCAGGTCCAGCAAAAAGAAAGCAAAGTATTTGTACATGGTAATGATAAATTTTGGGGTACAGAAGTGGCTACAAAAATGGGGAATGTAAAAGAACTGCAAAAAAATGATTAACTTACAGTATCTTGAGGAGTAAGAAGGTGTTGCTGTAAAGGTGTTAACAGAACCTTAAGATGACCATGTCTGTCTCACCAGGAGCGTTACCTGTGTCAGCGATACGATCAGCTGTTCGAGGCCTGGGAGAAACGTCTGGAAAGGATCGAGAATGGCTACAAAAGGAAGTAAGTTCGCTACATCTTGTATAAGTTTGCTACATCATTCTGATACTTATGTAGCAGAACTGCAGTCAAAGCACCCTTGTATGTTTTAAGACTATTTTCATAGATTATTGTTGCAAGAAAAGCACAGCCTATTGTTAAAAAAAAATCAGAATTCAACAATAACCTTGTATTGCCATTGTTGTCGATTGAAGGTGGTGTGTACAAGAAAACAATCATACACAAAGTCAAACAATGCAGAGAGTAGTGAAGTGGTTTTTGCTGTGTTTTTTCAGAGCAAAAGACGCCAAAGTGCGGGAATTTTACGAGAAGATGTTTCCAGAAATTCGCAAGCAACGAGAGCAGCAGGAACGATTCTCCAGGTAAGATTTTCTAGACTTTAATGTCTAATAGTAAAAAAAAACGTCAGTAAAAATGTGGACAGTGAAAATAGCAAAAAAATTCTGTGATTGTTTAATGTCTCCTACCAGGATTTGCAAAAGAAATTTCCTTTAAGTTTCTATAAGGATTGTTTAGAATTCCTCATTAGCTGTTGAAATTCTCAAGGCCCATTTATTTATGCTCTCGTTTGTGAAAACTAATTATTAAAATGTGTCATTGGATCATGAAGTTATCTATTGCAAAATTTTGTAAAGCCCGTATTCTTATGATTGTGCTAGGGTCAAAGCATGGTAGCTTGAACTGCAGGAAACACTGGGCACTGGAAAAGTGCAAAGGCCCTGGAAATTTGGAAAATATGATAATTCTATAACCAAGTCTTATATTTTATCTTGTTGCTGAATATATTTTATATGATAAAGATGCACATGTCTGTTAAAAGAGCATGCTTCTATTTTTGGTATATTTTCGGATGTGTTTGAAAAGACACTGGGGATTTGGTATATTACACACATGTAGATTCTGAAGTGAGCATGCTTATTCAGGTAACGTACAAATTCAGCAACAAGTTTGAATGTTAGACTTAAGGACACAAAATTTTCCGAATTCCCAGTGTCTTCACAAATTAAGGCCACACCAATTTGATTTGTTGGTTCTCAGATTTAAAAAAAATCGAAAATGAAACTGTAAACAGTCAGTTTGTACTTTGATACAATTTGTTGGAGAACCAAGACTTTTTCTCAAAATTTTCTGAGAGCTAAGATTTTTTCTTAAAATTTTCCAATAACCAAGATTTTTTTCAAAAAATTCCAATAATCAAGATTTTTCTCAAAATTTTCTAAAAAATTTTTTTGAAAAATTTTCAAAAAATGTTTGTGAAAAATCTTCGAATTTTTTTTTTTTTTGTGAAAAATTGTCAAAAATTTTTTTTTGTGTGAAAAATTTTTCTACACATTATAAATTTTTTATTTGACGGAGCACCTTTAAAATGAGTTGTTGTGGCCCAGACTTGCCCTGGCAGTCCTGGCCGATGGTGTGTGAGCTATCATGTGGTCTTGTTGCGCCTGTGTAGGGCGCATTCCCCATGTCCGAATGCTGTGAGTTGGGAACAACCAACGAATCAGCGCTCAAGTTTTCGCAGCAAGGTTCAAAGGTACTACCACATGCTGTATTTGCTTGCCAAGACAAGGAAGAAAAAATTGTGCAAAAAAAATCTGTGAAGCAATGATGGCATTTCCATGGTTCTGCAGATGTAAGGCCAAAGAAAATTGGGAAACTTTCAGCAGGAACTGAACTGGAGCTGTTTTTGTGGCATGGTTTTTCCCTGTTACATGTACCTACTGATGACCAAAGGTGCACCAGAACTGTTCTAGTTCCTGCTTTTTCTGAACACTAGTCTTGACATTTGAATGATTTTGTAAGGACTTCAATAATTGTGTAAACTGAATTTGTATCACTGTATCACAATATTGAGAGTTCACATTCTCAAACTACTATGGATTCAATTGTATATTACATGACATGTACTGTACAATATAAGTGTACAATGACATCAATTTTGCTTTACATGACATGAACTATATATACTTCAAAATGTATTAAACATGATATTAGAAGAACCGTGTCCACAAAGCTCAGAACCTGCCGTTTCCCCAAAGCAAAGAAACAACTTCAATTTTTCGACTGCTAAGATTGAATGGCTTCTCAGTTGGATGTTGTTTTACATTGTCTTGCGTATCATACATGATGTTGAGCATTACTGTTGTGGATCCTGCTGCCTACATGTACCTTAGAATCCTGCTGAAATCTTTCTACCTGTACCTTAAGCCTGGTTAGATCATGTATAAGAGGGTACATTATTCAACCACCAGTGGGTTTTACATCTGACATTTTGGTGACGGTCTGTCACCATCTTCAGGGCAACTATGATTTAGCTAGGTGTCGCTGTTGCAGAGTAAATACCATGAGGCTCTTTTTACACAACCAAGTGTTTTATTCAGCTGACGTTTCAGTGACCGTCTGTCACCTTCCTCAGGGCAATTCTGTTCACAGTGTTCCACAGTGTGTCGGCTGAATAAAAGACTTGGTTGTGTAAAAAGAGTCTCTTTACTCAGTGACCAACCAGATGAAACTATTCACAGATGTCTCTGCTGCAGTTTTACAAATTCAGCCCCAAACGTAGAGAAACAGAAATTTGTTTTACTGTGCTTGTCAATTAATTTGCATACATTATGTCATTGTGACTACTTTCTTTACATTTTGGACCTCACTTGTAACACTGCATCAGTGACAGCTAGCTGCAGTATGAATCAGATCCAGTCATTGTTGCCCTGAAGAAGGTGACAGATGGTCATTGAAATGTCAGATGTAAAAAAATCATCAATCCCGTGTGTTTGGTTATTCCATGAGTCAGTCAGGAACTGTGTGGTCTACAGTGTGTTTACAGACTTCCTATCTTTCTCTCCTTTCAGTGCAAAGAACGGTGAAAGGAGGTAACATTTCTATTCCCTATCCTTACTTAACACTTATGTTTAGGCTGTGTGCAGGGCACAAAATACACTTTGTATTTTTGTAAAATGACAGTAAAATTGCTTATAAGAGCACAGTTGTATTCCCGAAATTGGGGGAAAAATTTGTGTATTATTTAGCCTGCAAGTGCAGATACCTGGTTGATATTTTGTGCCCTGGACATGTGATGCTGCAGCTAACTCACTGCATCAAATATAAGCACCAAGGTTTTCACAGGATTGAGACCGTTAGGCAACCATTGTACAATCCAAAATCCTTGAAAGATCATAGAAAGACCATGGAGACATTTGAAACACCATTGAGATCATAGGAAGACCTTGGAGACCAATGAAAGACCATTGAGATCATAGAAAGACCTCATAGACCTCGGAAAACCATTGAACACTCACTGTAAGACCTTTGACAGACCTGTCAAATTTTTGGATACTCAACGGTCCCTGTCCTGTGGATTCACTGCTTTTAATTTAAAAGGAAGCCACATAATCTAAAAATCCTTTTTTAATGAAGTCTTGTAATTTTAACCTTTTTCCTGCTGCCTAACCCTTTCACCAATAGAGAATAGTTAGCCAGACAGCTGATTTAGTATGCTAAGGGTTAAAGGCAGACTGGAAAGACAAGTTTTCCTCCCGTCTGTAGGACCGGAGCGCGGGGCAGCAGCTTCGCGGCGACTGTTGCCAGGAGTGATGCTGAGATGGCTGAGATCATGGACAGTCTCAGTGAGCAGGAGGTGGGCAAATTTCTTTATTACAAGTCTGTGAGTGTGACATAACGGCAGAGCATTCAGCTCAGAACCAAGAGGTCCTGGGTTCAAATCCTCCAAAGTCACCAAACCTGTGCCTTGAACAATCCAGTGAGCAGGAGGTTATAATTGGTTCAGATTCGAATGAGGAAATCACTTCCAAGTTTTCCCAAACCACAAGTACAACATTTGGCAAAGAAAAGCCACCAAATTCCACATGGGAAGGTGTCACTGCATTGGTCAATTAGTTTCTGAACAGCCAGAATTTTCAATCTGTGAAAAAATTTTTATACATTAAAAATATCTAACTGTGAAGGATATTATTGACTTCTTTAACGTTTGTAGAACAACAATGTACAAGAACATGACAGCTACATGTAGTACAAGCTACTATAAATATAACACCTTGTTTTGCTGATGTGTATTTTACAAATATATCATCATTCTACAGTATCTAACAGAAAGCTGACTTCTTCAACATTTATAGGCTGTCAATAGACATGAATTGATTGATTGATAGATTGATTGATTAATTGATTGATTGCTTTTAGAACAACGAGCGACAGATGCGACAGTTGGCGGTGGTTCCTCCGATGATGTTTGATGAGGACCAGCGAAGAATCAAGTTCATCAACAAGAACGGGCTGATCAAGGACCCCATGAAGGAGTACAAGGAACGACAGCTCATCAACACATGGACCGAGGAGGAGAAACAGATCTTCAAGGAGAAGTAAGGCACAACTAGAAAGCTTTTAGGAAAAGCAAGACCTTTAAAGAGAAGTAACACTGATAGACAAGGGAAAACAATGTCTTAACAGCCAGAGAAACAGATCTTTTTAAAAGGAAAAACATAGGGTTGAAGGATCATGTAACTTAGTGTCTTTAACTTAAGGAAAAGCAAGAGCTCTAAGGAGATGGAAACCTAGTTCTTAAAGGAAAAGGGAGTCTTAACAGGTTTAGAAATGGATCTTAAAGGAAAGATACACCTTGATAGCTAGTTCAGTGGGTTTAGTTTAATTTGAATTTTGAATCCTGTACTCTCTCTCTCATCTCTAACAGGTTCATCCAACACCCCAAGAACTTTGCTCTCATTGCCTCGTATCTGGACAGGAAGGTTAGTCAGGTTTTCTTTCACATGTCTGCATAACTGTTTTTTGTACACTCGCTGATCATGACTGTTATGATCAAATCAGTGTATATCCTTACATGTAGGACTGCTGACCAATTTTCTGTTCTGTTCCAGAGTGTCTCTGACTGTGTGCTGTACTACTATCAAAGCAAGAAGAATGAAAACTACAAACAACTGATGAGAAAACAAGCCCTGAAGCGCAAGAGGCCCTTCGGGAAAGGACAGGTAATACAGTTTGAAATTTTTTTCACAAAAATGCCCCTGTAGTTCTAAGTGATTAACCGCTAGGGGGACAAGCCTGTATCACTGTTTTCCTGAGGTCAAAAGCCATGTGCCAACCAAAAATCAAGACCATAGCATGACCAGGATAAAAGATAATACATTTGTACCTGTATAGATTGCTATATTATAATACTTACATATTTGTACAGTCTTGAAAGTTAAAATTACTCAGTTTATATTATTATTAATGTCTTATCCAACTACTGACTGTTGAACCTTCACAAAAACATTTATCGTAATATGAAAATAGACCAAATTTTAACTGAGAATATTTTTGTCTTTCCAGCTTCACAGAGAAGACAAAGATATGGACCAGGATGAGAAAAGTAGGGACAAGGATGATGATGATGATTCAGCTGAAGATGAAGAGAGGGAGAGACCAGAACGTGCCACCTCCAATGGTAAACACTACAACTGTTCTTATGTCTTCTTGTCTTCTTACATGTATATGAGTAGAAGCTAGATAGATAATTGAATATCAAGTTTTGAAGAGATTGAAGCAGTAAGGTTTGTAGAAACATTATGCTGCTATTCTACTGTTGCGCACCTTATGTTGTGCACCCAAAATGTTTTCCGTACATTGCCATCTAAATTTTTAGGAAAAGTATACCTCTTCTCAAAAATGAATTTCAGGGCTTTTAGCTTGCATCTAGTATTTTTGATTGCTGTAGTATAAGAAATACCAATCTGAATTTCTGATGCTACAACAGGGCAGAGAAACAAATTTTTTCCTCCATTTGTCCCCCAGACGTGCCTGATGATGGTTCAGTCACCAAGTGCGTCATCTGCGGCGAGATTATCGACAACTACAGCGAGACGCGTCCGATCACGCGGAACCTGGCAGAGTTCTACGGTCTGACGGAGGAGGACATGCGCCCGGCGCACCGCATCTGCAGCAAGTGCCGTTGTCGCTCCGTGCGCAAACGGTATGAGCTTAGGTAGGGCGCGGTACATACACAACAGTACATGTGGTCCTGTCAGATGTCTGTATGTCACTGTTGTTTTTTGCTGTTCCAAAGGTGGTGGGCTTACGTAGTGTATGGTAGATATAGAAGTTAGAATAGTACACGTAGTCCTGTCAGATGTCTATATGTATGTCACTGTCTTGTTATTCTGTAACAGTTGGAGATTGAATGGTTATGGGTTCTACTCTTGGACTACATGTACATTGTACAAAAGTCATGTACATTGTAGTCTCTGGTATGAGCTTAGGTAGGGTGCGGTACATACAAAAAAGTACATGTGGTCCTGTCAAGTGTCTGTATGTCACTGTAACAGTTGTTTTTTGTTTTTTTTGCTGTTGGGCATCATTAATTGCAGTAGCTATCTACATGTACATGTAGATCGGAGGGTTCTAATGTTGGACTAGTATTTGGTATGAGCTTAGGTAGGGTGCAGTACAGAACAGTACTGTGTATATGTGACCCTGTCAACATCTGCATGTCACTTTGTTTTTCTGTTGAGCTACATCAGTGAGTACTCCAGTAAGAATAGAGTTAGTAATCCAGATTTTAAGTTTATGGATTTGAATCTCAGTTGTCTGGGCTTACGCAGGGTGCAGTACATACAGTACAGTGGTCCTGTGTTCCTGTAGTGACTAGTCCAGTTCTGACTGTAGTCCCTCCAGGGTTGGACAAGTCTCATTGCCCACTTGCCCAGGGCAAGTAAAAGCACTGTTCGGGCAAGTAAATATCCCCCAGTACTTGCCCGATTGGGCAAGTACATTTTTTGGATGCAAAGTTTTAGCCCCAGCAGTATTTCAACCAAGTTTTAAACAATTTTGATAAATAAAGCATCCAACATTATAAACTCTTTCTGCTAGTAAAATGCATAGAAATGTGTCGTATTTTGGGCAAGTAAAAAGTTGGTTCGGGCAAGTGGAAATGACCATGTACTTGCCTGATAAGGCAAGTGGATTTTTGAAAACTTGTCCAACCCTGCCCTCCCTGCCTGTCTCCCCAGCTGCCCAGTTCCCACCTGTAAGACTCCCAAGAGGAAGGTGAAGAGACTGAAAACACTTCCAACTAAACTCAACGAGCTGCCAGCAGAGCAGAAAGAACCAGTCATGCAGGAGTTCGGTAAGACTAAGAGTTCTTATCTTTGTCTTTCTAAACAGAATGTTATCGATGGCGTAGTTATTTGTTTCAGAGCACATAATCTGTACTGATTCATGGTAAAATGGCCAAAACTGTCTTGCATTCTTCAAAATAGCATTATTGAAAACAGCAGAGAACTTTATTTGTAAAATCAAAAGCCATGCTTTGGAACATACATTCTTTTAACATATAAAATTTTGATGACTGGCAAATGAACTGTGGTGCAGGTGAAATATGTCTGATGTAGGGAATTTTGCAAGTTACCAGAGCACCAGTGCAACATTGTATGCAGAGGAAAGGATTGTCAGTTGTCATGCAGACAGCATTATTTGTGACAAATATTTTTGAACAGACAACACACTCAGTTAATATGAGTTACAATGTATTAGCTACTTTGGGGAGCTTTCGAGACATACTCTCTTTGTCAACCCAGGAAGATTCTCTTGTCACATATTGATTATTATTTTTTAACATAAACATTATTGTTCCCCTCCAGGCCTGACAGAAGAGATCAGTAAATGCTGTGCCACGTGTTTTAACCGGATCGCGCGCCGCCTGGGCGGGGAACCGGGCACAGGCGACGAGGACACAAAGGAGGCTCCAAGTGCGTCTGAGCAAGGTACACAGGTTCCACCCACAGTTAGGGACGCTGCGCTAAAAAATATAAGACCAAAAAAAAAAAACGTTTTCAAACATCAAGGTTGGTTTTTCAGAATGCTCGAAAATCAGACCAAGCAAAAAAGACATTTCTAAATGCCATGGTTGGTTCATTTATAACCTGAATTCCCTACAAAGTTGGAAATTTATGAAAAAGGAAAATCTATTGACACTTAACATTTAGTTCATATTATAAAAGATAGTAGCACAGTTAGGGACGCTGCACTAAAAAAGGCATTTCCCACAAAATTTTTCCATTTTCAAGATATTTCAACATAATATAAGAAAGATACTTTCAAAATCCAAAAAAAGAGACATTCCATATTGAAAATCCCTAAAAAAATTCTGTGCAACATTAAGTGGAAAATTGTGAAAAAAAGGAATACCGTTGTCAACATTGAGTTCATATTAATAAATATTAATATTATCTTAGTTTTTATTGCCATTGTTTGAATGGTTTTTACTTTGGACATTTTAAGTGCATGAAGTTAAAATGAAACTTCGCTAGGCTGCATGTGAGTGGTACAGTATGTTTTTCATCTCCTACAAAGTAGAATCATTTTCTAAGCATCTGTAGCTCATATAGCTTCTGCTGGTCGTTAGTTTTATAATGTTACATTATATTCAATATCAAGAGCTTTTCTGTCTAACTTCTTGTGTTCTTGGCATGACAAGCTTTCGTTAATTCTTACAGCACAAAAAGTTTATAAGCCATATATCATCAAGAATGCTGCCTTGAAATCAAACTGTTGACAGATACTGGCTTGAGATTGAAACAAGATGATTGCATTACTGCGCAACTGAGCTTGAAGTTGAACTCATTGCAAAGCATTGCCAAAACATGATTGTGTCATAATGAATGCAGGCTTGAAATCAAATCAAGTTGCTGAAATGAAAGAAGCTGGTTTGACTTCGAAATGAAATGATTGCAAAACTGCACAATTGAGCATAAGGCAACTGACTGTGGTGAACCTGTTGTACTCTTCTATGGATGTTGTCTAACCCTTGTCCTCCCTTGTCTAACCCTCATGCCTTAACCTACTGTCATGTTATACACTATTATAGTGCATGGAAGGCCCCATAGTAGTAAAATGGTTAAATGTTGGATGCTTTTGAAACAGTCATTGTGTAAGAAGTATAATATTGTGATGTTGTAATATTATTGTGAAGTTGTGCATGATACACTGTGCTTGCATGTAGCTAGCTAATAAGGACAGAACTTAAATACAGTTAACTTTTATTTAGTGGCACTTCTATGTTGAAATGTACAGTCACAAGGCATGCATGTAATGTACATGTACCTTTTTTGTACAATAAACAAGGTAAGTAGAGATCAGGATATTTTGGATAATCTGCTTAACAGTTACAAATCAGAACTTTTCCCCACCCAACAGTGGAGACCTCCCGTTGGACGGAGGATGAAATGGAGGTTGCGAAACGCGGTCTGCGAGAACACGGGCGGGACTGGGAGGCCATCTCGGAGATGGTGATGACCAAGACGCCGGCGCAGTGCAAGAACTTCTACTTCAACTACAAGCGCAAGTTTAGTCTGGAGACACTCGTCATGGAGTACAAACGGAACAAGGTATGATTTACGTTGATGAAGCTTAGACATGAGATACACAAGGAAATTATAACTGTTTTTCACTCCTTTTTGCCAAAAAGTAGTGACTGATGAAAAGTGAGTGGATGCTACATTTGTACTGTACCTGAAACGTGAGACAGTTTTCAAAATCTATCCAGTAAGTTGCTTGAGTAACTGTGTTCTGACTTGTGTATCTCATTACCTGGATGTCTAACTTTTATTCACGTAGTAAGGTCCTGTATATATATACATGAGGTTTTGGTTTGTTGCATGATGTTAAGAGGAGAGTAACTGTCAAAACGTTTTCCTCCCCACCGTCTGGTTTTATCCTAGGCTCTTGTTTGAGATTTAATTTTTATTACTGAGAACCAAAGAAATTATTTTTTTCTCTTTTTTTCCCAGGCTCAAAGGGAGCGTGACATCTCCATTTCTGCTGAGAGTGCAGCGTCCACTCTTACTGCTGAGTCAGAAAACGAGGCTGAGTCTGAATCTTCTAGTGATGAGGACAACACACAGGACAATGAGGTGCCAACCTCTACTCTTACAATTTTATAGAGAATAGTTTCAAAGGTGTTTGTGTGTGTGTGCATGCGTGTGCGTGTGTGCGCGTGCATGCGTGCGTGCGTGTGTGTGTGAATGTGTGTGAATCTTTAGGTCCAAAACGACAATAGTTGAGCCATTGCAACTGTTTTTTATGTAATCAAGGACATTACATTTTTGTATATGTAAATTCGATATTAATTCAGTATTATACACACTGCGAAAACGAATAAAGTCATCTTGTATCTTGTCTCAAAATAAGACCAGACGAGTGCAGATATACACAAAAATACAGGACCTGGTATTGTGGTAAAATTGAAGTCATTTACTATTATAATAGATATTTCTGACGTCTACCTGCACCTAACCTTCACTAGTAATGGTACATAATACATACAATATTATGAACTACAAGGAGTGCAAACCTCAGATGTCAAACCAGCAAACCTTCTCCATGTAAACAGAAGATATCTGAACTGTGTGTGTGTTTAACAGGAGGAGGACAGTTCTGACACGGAGAGTGCCTCGGAAGACGGCCGTGATGACCCCAACAAGCAGTCAGCTGAGTCAGGCAAGCCCAAACTGGAGGTGAAGGCAACCGTAGCCAGGGAGGAGCCGGGGGAGAAAAAGGTTACCGCAACAACCGTCACCTTACCACAGGAGCCTCTTCCACAAGTTAAGGTAAGGGGTCAATGCCTGTGTTGTACATATTTGCCCAATTGGTTAGGACTAATTACAGGTCACAAAAAACAAGATACGAGCATATTGTATCTGCACAATCATGAAGAACGCATTCTAGCATGTTGACTTGTCTTCTTCAATTTGGTTTTGTAATGATGGAAATGTAAGTCATAGAGCATTTTGCAGGGCTTGTCAAGCTATTTGCATACATGTATAAGCTGCAGGAATTGGCATTAGTTTGTACATGTCTAATATAATATTAAGTATACATTGTGTCTCTCTTCTTGTTTACATTCTACTGCTATAAATTGATTTTTCATTCATTTATAAAATGATTATCCTCCTGGACTAAGATTACAGTGCTGATATATTAATGTTGATTGCTCCATTTTTTTAACTCGTAGTTTGTAGAAACTATTCCGTAGTTTTGTGCTGTATAATTATTGTCTTAATGCTTAGATACATTGTAATTTGATTTTTTCCACAGGTTGAGAAGGACAAGCCGGCTGAAGTGAAGGCACCGCCGCCGCCAGTTCCTGTTGTGGAGATAAAGGAAGAAGACAACGACAGCAGTGCGACATGTAGTGCAGACGAGGGTGGGGGGGAGGGAGAGGGCGTCCCTCAACACAGCGGCGGCAGCTTGGGCAAAACTTCTGCCGCACCTGTGAGCACGGCTGACGTCAAACCCATCATCTCCACCAGCAATTCTGGTTTGTTTGTTTGTTTATTCGCATGTGATTGAAGAACATAACATAACATAATAAAAGAAGATAAAAACCAATTATGGCCTGTCCAAGATCTTAAAAAAAAGACATCAATGATACACATGTATGATACATTAAACATTATGATAAAAATGGATAAATAGTTAGTGATATTAGCAACACATAATAAAGATTATTATTAGATATGAATAAATATTATTAGATAGGAATGAATATTATTAGAAAGGAATAATTATTATTAGATAGGAAGAAATAATTATTAAGTAACGCAATATGGATAAAAACGGATTCTTACTCATAACGAAGATGCAAACTTATAACAGTAGATAGAATGTAACCAATTGAATAATGAGAATACAATGAGTCAATGGGACTTTATCTTAATACCTGCAGGGAGTGTTGGAGAGAGAGTGGCCGGTGTGGTGTCTGCTGGGAAGACGGTCCCGCCTTCAGGCATCGCGGCAACCTTCCCAGCATCCTTTATCCCCCCGCCCAGCACGATGGTCACAGGACCGCATAGTCGGCCATCGCTGCAACAGATGGTGGCAAGGCATGCACAGATCCCTGGTAGGCTTTTATCTTCGTTAGAATGTTAAATATGTTTTTGGTAGCATTTGTTTGTATGTATGAAACTGCCAAAGAAAGAAAATGTGTGTGTGTGGTGTGTTTGTGTGTGTGTGAGTTGGCAAGGTACTCCAAGGTACTCCAAGTTATGGAGCTCAAGAAGCTATGGATGAATTGTCATGAAACAAAATTTTTAATGTAAAAACACTACTTTGAAAGGAGCAGCAATACATTAAGAAATACAAGATGGATTGTGAAAATAACGAAAACAAGATGACTTTGTGTAAACCAATTATGAAAATCTACGAACAAAAGTGTAAATAACATCTTTATTGCAATTGGTTGGACCACTTCCAAGAATATGCCAAAAAACAGTCACTCAAGCAACTGGATATGATTTTGAAAACGTCAGACGTTTCAGCTAGTATCCACTAGCTTTCGTCAGTGACTGAGAGACCAGAGGGGAAAGCAGGTTTATATACACAACCTGTTGATTGATATGCAAATAAAGTGAAGACAAATTTTTGGAAGTCGAAAAAGGAACAAAAGTCAGACAAGTCAAGACAAGATGATGCAAATTAGTCTGAAAGCTCCTGTTATACAGGACAGGAGCTTAAGTGTTGTCTGTCCTCGGGGCTGTCCTCCCCTCTGGTCTCTCAGTCACTGACGAAAGCTAGTGGATACTAGCTGAAACGTCTGACGTTTTCAAAATCATATCCAGTTGCTTGAGTAACTGTTTTTTGGCATATCGTATTACCTGGATGTCTAACCTTCATCGACACTTCCAAGAATAATTTCGAAATCAACTAAAAGCTGTGACTGTTTTCCTTCAGGTATGCCACAGCTGATAGTGACAGGAGCGCAGGAGAGCCTCCTGATGTACCCACGCATGGACAGGTCTCAGGAGCAGACGGTCACAACCAGCACCACAACGGTCAAGTCCTTCATCGACGCTGCCATAGAACAGAACATGGGCATCCCCAGCCAGGCTCTACGCGGGCACAATGTCACGCTGACGGGGTTCGCGGAAACCCGGGAGGGGCGGGACCGTCCAAGGTCATTATGTTTATTTATTTATTTAAGGAATCTCCAATTAGTGACCTATAACACACCACTACTCTTCCTGGAGTCCTGTCATGGTACCCATATAATACAAACATCATATTATTATCTACTATTTACATCCACTTCTAACTACTATCAAAGAAAACTTGTCAACATCAAACAGCATTACATACAAAAAGTTAGGATAAAAAATACAAAATCAAAAAAAAAAGTACAAATTAAAATACCTACAAAAATATTTAGGAGCACCAGTGCACCCACAGGAAAAAATTGGGTGTTCAGCTCCAATTTTGGGTGCACTAAGGTGCACATATGCACCCAGTATTTCGAGCCCTGAATTTGTATTAAAATTTATAACAACATTTCTATTATTCATACAGGTCCAGCTCGCCTCATGTGCAGCGATCTCCCATCACGCCACCGTCGCGCGCCGCCCACATCCCGGTCACCAGCCCTCTCACCATCGACACACGCATCGGCGTGGTCATGGGGCAGAGGAGCGAGGGCCACGAGCACGAGAAGGAACGAGCCACCGCGTCCGCGTCCCCGAGAGTCGGGCGGCTCGCCCCCCACGGTCTGGTCCCGGTGACAGAGGGTCTCCCGCACCAGTCGTCCATGCCGGTGCAGAGCAAGCCTGGCTTGCCCCCGCCGCCGCCTCTCATATCGAAATCGTCCTCGCCAAAAGGCAAGGGGCCACAGATGTCACCGCAGTCTCAGCACCCCATGTACCACACAGGTACCATACTTAGTACCACACTTACATGTAGTGCTGTGCTATGTTGGCAACCTTGCAGTGTTGTACAGTATGGGCAAAACTTTGGCCACATAACATGGAGGCTGACACTTGAGGATGCCTGATGGCAATGTTTTCTTTATTTTGCAGCACAGATTTTGCAATCTATGGAAGGTTTTAGGTCGTTTGGAAAGAAAGGGGTTTCTTTTTTGTAGTAAGTCTGGAGTAATAAGTTCTGTCATTATTTGTAATAAGTTCTCTCCCCTAGACCTTTAGACCAGTCACTCTGGTCTTCCTCAGTAGACTGACTTTTGTATCTTGTATCTTGTACAGGTTCTATCACCAGAGGCATCCCCATGTCCTACGCTATCCATCCAGCCAGCATGCCTGGAGTTGTGCCACCACCACCTCCGTCTAGCCGACAGGATGGGGCAGAAGGGAGGAGGGGGGTCAACGAGGGGTCCATCATCCAAGGTAGTTTTCACCACTTTTTATTCTATCTTGCATACTTTGTACATAAATTGTAGTTGTAGTGTGTCTGAGTGCAATATCTTTGAAATAATTATAATATTATCTTTTAACCCTTGTCCTGTGGAGCCCATATATATGGGTTGCATGTACAGTAACAACTACTGTATATAGTTTGTACAATTTGGGGGTATTTTTCGTGCAACGCATCCCTCTGCAGCGAAACACAACAAATACATTAGTAACTACACCACCCCAGGGCAAAAAAAAGTCAAGGGACTATGACCTGGTTACGACATCAACATTATTTTGAAAACGTTGTGTAAAAAAAGCCAGTAGGACTAGTGTTAACCTTTAGTTATATATTGTATAAGTTCATAATAATTTATGTATTATCACCATAATTTAGTCTTAGGACTGCAAGTATAATTATATATGTGAGTGAAATGTCAAATATTAATTATTATTATATCTCTAATATATATATCAATAATATAAATGTTAAATATAATAATTTATTAAGGTACCCCGAGGAAACACGACGGTTTGCTGACCGCGGGAGAGCCGAGGAGAATCGAAGGGTCGATCACAAGGGGAACTCCGGTTGTGTCATACGAGAGTAACATCTCACGAGTGACGATGCAAGGAGAGGGGATGCGGAAATACCCAGTGGTCGAAGAGGTACATTTGTACTTGATACTTAATACTTTATTAGGATTATTATTAGGATTATTAATTAGTTGCACAAATGCAACTAACCTTTTCTGGATTCCAATACTTAGAAGAGGAGGGCGCAAGGCAAGTAAGGCAAAATGTTAAAAGTTATGTGCATCGGAGGACATTTTGGTGTTTCAATTACATTGTAAAAATCAGTTTTTACACATAAATTGCAAGTAAATTTTATACATTTACATAAAAAAATGTTTTAGTAATATTAAAAATTGAGCAAGTTACATCATATCTAACTTCTACAATACATTAATAATTATGCTTTTACTTCAGTTACATTGATTTTGTTGCAATTGTTTTGGCAGGTGAGCCCACGGGGAGGGTCCATCACGAAAGGGACGCCCGTGCGACCGCCCGAGGAGGTGTCCCCGCACGCGCCGTACGAGCGACGAGAGAAGACGGGACAGGAGATGTTCGAGGGGCTGATCCAGCGAGCCATCGCCGAACCCAACAAGGCCGACCAGAGAGGTTTGTTTGTTCTTTTTTTTGTTTTTATTTCGATCCCCATTAGTACTTGAGCACTATTCTTCCTGGGGTCAGTCAACACAATAGAATGAAACATAAATAACAAAAATATCTTGTTTAGAGTTAAAAATTTTGGTCCAAAAAAGTTCTCTCACCTAGAGCTTTCGACCAGTCGCTCTAGCTGGTCTTCCTCAGTAGACTGACCCAGTGAAGCTTGTCACATGGCTTCTTTGAAGTGTGACGTTAACACTGGGTCAATGGTATCTGGTAGACGATGTCAACCCCCGTCGCAGTGAAGTGAAGGGTGATGGGCCCTGATGTATATGGCTTCCTTCACCCCTCTCAAGAAATAGTCCTGTTCAGTGTCCAAAATCCTTGCAGTGTCGAGTGAAACAAAGTGTCCGGGTGACTCTATGTGGATGTGTTGTGACACCTCTGAACTGTTGTGTTGGTGTGAGATATACTAACTCTGTCCTATACTCTCAGGTCCGGTGCCTCCGCCGGGAACAGCTATCTACCGTGATTCCCGCGGCATCCCCATCCACCCCTACACCGGCATGCCCATTGACTACCCTGTATCTACCGTGTACGGCGGAGCAATGATCCGCGGGACCCCCACGTCACGAGCCGGATCCATCACCCAGGGCACCCCCATGCACGCCCACTCCGAGGGCGTGAACAGGGGGCTCCAGGTGGACACGCTGTCGCGATCCTCCCCTGGTAGAGCCGAGCACCCTTCGCATGCTGAGAGAAGGGAAGGGCCGTACATCCAGGTCAGTCTGTGTATCAACATTATGTAGCAGTTGTAGCATGAAAATTCATCTGTGTTGGTACAAGTCATTATGAAATAAAGACTAAGCTTCAATTTCCAACACTAACTACACAGAATTGGGACTTAACGGTACCCCAAATTTTCGGTTGACTCCATCAACCTTGTTCACGGAATGCACCCGTCTACTCTTGGCACGTGACGTCAGAGACACGTGACCATAGTAGCAGGTCATACACATGTACGTGCCAGATAACTTGTGTCGCCGCCGTCTTTGTTCAGGGTAGGTCTGTGAGCTCTTATGTAGACCGCCTCCTTCACTCCTCTTGCAAAGAAATCCGATTCAGAAGCAAGGAAGGGGTTAAAACGTGGATTATACATTGTACTTCTGTAGTTAAATGTAATCAGCCAATAGTCTTACATGTATACAATACTCTAGATACATGTAGCTTAGGTAGAAAACTTTCATTTACACTTTCTGTGCTGTACAGGGTACTCCCGGGCGATCTGACAGCCCTGCCAGGCGCAGAAGCACGCCGCAGAAGGACGAGAGCCCCTCGCCGAGGGTGGAGGCTTCCCTGTCGCGCAGCACACCCACGGTTATACACCAGGGCATGAGGATGGGATACGAGAGGGAGAGAGAGAGGTACATACATGATCAAATTTATTTCACAGCAATTGTACAAGGCACACCATCTACATGTTTTGCAGTACATGTACAGTAACTACATAACGAACATGATAAGAGACTAATCCACCTTACAAATTATATGTGAATTTCCTAGCATCTTTTACATGTATGTCAAATATTAAATATGTATTTGATATTTGCAATGAAATAAGTAATTAATCCCAATTAAGGAGACACCCTCTACTATATATAAACCTTGAAGCTTTCCCCTGCACATTTCACTTCATTTTGAACATTTCACTTCATTTTGAACGTTTCACTTCATTTTGAACGTTTCACTTCATTTTGAATATTTCTTTACATTTGGAACATTTCATCATTTCGATCATCATTTCATCATTTCATCGTGATAAAATAAAAACATGTTCGTCTTCCATCAGGTACGAGGCCCACCACCGTGCCGCCATGGAAGGGAAGAAGTCTCCCGCGGGGATGGAGAAACCCATGAAATCTCCAGCCGGAAAACTGGAGCCCGGGTCGATCACCCGGGGAACCCCGATGTACCACGGGCGCGACCGCCCTCCCTCCTCCGGTCCAGACGTACCCCGTAGTCCTCGGGACAGCGCGAGTTCCGGCGCGATCGACCTGACGCGTGATTCGCCCGTTGACATGACGACACGGCCCGGTCGCGAGCCGCCACCTCCGCACGGGAGCATGCCGTATCCCGGGCGTACACGGAAGTCGCCGCTCCCCGGCTACGTCAGTCCGTACCAGGGGATGGCCGAAACCCGCGCGACGCTCATGGCGGACTTCCTCACCTCCCAGCAGATGAGCGCCGCGCACGCCGAGCAGAGTCGATCACGAGAACGGACCCCGGCCGAATACGCCGCTTCAAAAGAGACGCGTCACTCCCCGCGCAGCCCACGAGACAAGCGGTACTCGCCCCAACAACACCGCCCGCCCATGGAGCACCCGGCCGTCCACCACCCCGGCATGTTCCCCCACCCCCCGGGCATGATCACGGACCCCCAGGGGAGGGTGATGTTCGTCTACCCGGGGATGTTTCCCGGGTACATCACGGACCCGTCCTCCCTGATGCAGAGATCCAGCGCCAGCACCCCCCCTGTCTCGGTGGAGGGGTATCAGTACCCCCTCTCCGCGTCCTGGCCACAGATACGCCCGGGGATGCCCACACAGATTATGGCAGGATACCCTGTACCGCCACAGCATGCACAGGTACGTTTTACACTCTTTACAAACAGATTAAACTAGAAAGGTACCATTTGCAAAGCAAATGCATCATGTTTACTACCTTCACCTGGTCTAGCCTAAAAAATGACTTCACTGTTTCTTCTTACTCAAAGTCATATTATATCAAATACATTCAATATGTATGGCACATGTTCAGTGAGCAGGCTTTCCAGCTCTGTTCTGCTACATGGGGGATGTAACACCACACCACAGGTGTTGCTACAGCACCAGTTACCATGGTGACAGACGTCTGGTCCAAGTCATTGACTTAATGCTTGTTAGGATCAGAAGATAAAACTGTTTTCTTTCGAATTCTGCGAAGGTAAACATAAGACTTTAAAGAAATAGATGGACACGATGAAAAATGGTAACATTTTAAACAACCGTCTTTGTTAGGTAATTCCTGAAACACTACAAAAGTCGTATTTATTCTTTTATGAATTTTTATGTATTTACTATGTTTTTTGTATTGGGAATGATTAATGTGCATTTTAAAAATAATTCCCAGGTGAGCCGTCAGAATGTGATCCAGCACAGCGCCGCGCACTTCGAGGGCGGAGGCTCCATCACGCAGGGGACGCCCATCAAGCCGCCTGTGTCCGGTGCTGAGGTCAGCAGCACCTCCAGGCCTGGGGAGGGGTCACGTAGCGCCATTACACCTCCAGGACCTCGTTCTACCAGCAGGGGCAGGTCTGTGTTTCGTTTAAAGTTAAAACTTTTGTTTCAGCACAAACTTTTAGGTATTATTTACATGTTCTCATTTAGAGCTTTCGACCAGTCACTCTGGTCTGTCTCAGTAGACTGACCCAGTGAGACTTGTCACATGGCTACTGAGGAAGACCAGAGTGACTGTTGGAAAGCTCCTTAAATTTAACGTCAATCATTCACCAGCCCGATGAAAGAAAATCTACATGTAGTACAATTTTCACATAAATTCAGAGCAGCTCCTATACAATAGCGATAGAAGACACAATTAGGAGCTGTCTTTCCCCTATACACTGTCAGCTACATACAATCCTTAACTTACTGTTTCTCTTTTCCAGTGCTCCGCCCCAGTCTCCAGAGAAAGGCCACATAGTCCCGGGCTACCCGATGATGATGGACCCGCAGCAAGACCGCCGATCGCACGTCCGCCGGCCTTCCGAGCCGCCCGAGCGGCCTCCGCCCCAGGCCACGGTCCACCCACAGAAGCGCGCCGACCCGGTCCACCCTGGGGACCGTAACCCTCGCGAGTCGCCCATGATGAAGTACCGCGTCGGGAGGGATCCGCAGGAGGGAAGGAGCTCGCGTTCGCACACCCCGGGTAGCACAGAGCCGCCGTCCAAGTCACCCATCACCTCCCCCTCACAGATCCTCTCCATCTCGTTTGAGAAGGACAAGCCGGTGGAGCAGCCTCCTGCACAGGGCGGGCAGGGTCCGCTAACGGCGGCAAATCTCATCGATGCCATCATCACTCACCAGATCAACTCTTCTGCAACCATATCGGGTGACGGCAGAAAGGTAGGCTTTTTTTCCTTGACAAAGACTGAAGTTGTACAGTCGAAAATTTGTGTGAGTCCAATTTCTTGTGTTAATTATTGCAGTTCAAACTTGTTTTATAAGCTTTTGTTTATTTGTACAAGAAATTAAATAAATGATATATAAAACAGCTGCACATCATGTGCAATATATTGCTCAAGGAACACCCGTGTGAGAAAATGATCGCAATTACTCGCTCTCTGCCTTGTAAACCAGTATGGATGGTAAGCGAAAATTCATGGTTCTTCCCTGTGTTTGAAGATTAAACATTACAATTATTCTTTCGTGTCTTGTGAAGGAGCCATCGGCCGACGTACAAGACCCGGGTTCGCGCGGCCCTCCCCGCGGCCGGGTGTCCCCCGCGCCCCGTCCCAGCCACGCGCCCCTACAGGGTGAGGGTGGCCGTATCCGCGCCCCGGTGTGGCAGCTTCCCGAGGCGGACCACGGGGGCTCAGCCCGGGAGCAGAGTCACGGGCGTAGAGAGAGCCAGGAGAGCTCGGCGGCGCCGGAGGGACCCGGGAACCATTACGGCCCACCGGGGAGAAACACTGTCCACGCTGACAGCACCACCAGCAGGCCTACCAAGGTCAGAGTTTTTCATTAGATTGATCTGATTTATTAACAATACGATACACGTGGGACACAGGCAGCAAATACAGAACAGGACAATACTCATTTTCACTTGAGTTAAGTGAGGTAAGTTGTTTTAAGTGCCTTTCCCAAGGGCACAAGTTTGGTGGCATGACATGAGTCAAGCACTCTGCCGTTACACCATACAACCCCACAGTATTAGAAATACCAATCTGCAGTCTGCATTTTGCAAATAAATTTCTTAATTTCAGAAGAAGATTCAATCAACCTGCAATTTTGCTTCATTAGGTAGCATTAGGTTTCGTTAAGTATGCAGTGTTGGTTATTTTATGTATTATAGGTTTAATTTATACATGACTCCAGGAAGACTAGTGTAGTATGCATTGCACATACTCACTGATGGAGATCTTTCAAATAAACAAACAAACTTTAAAAACGTATTTCTACCACCTTAGGTGCAGCAGATCACCCTAGGTGAGCACATCTCCAACATCATTCACCAGGATTACAGCCAGAGACCGGGACAGAACGCCAGCCCGGCCCCCACCCCTCTCCACCGTCCGCAGTCCACGTCCAGTCTCACCCGGTCACCGGCCGCAAAGGAGAGGGAAGCAGCCATGCAGCGTTCAAGGTTTGTGAAATACACTTGTGTATCTGTATAGCCGGTATAACCGCCCTTCGGCACAACACACCAGCTTCTGTATCTGTATAGCCGGTATAACTGCCCTTTGGCACAACACACCAGCTTCTGTATCTGTATAGCCGGTATAACCGCCCTTCGGCGTAACACACCAGCTTCTGTATCTGTATAGCCGGTATGACCGCCTTTCTGCGTAACACACCAGCTTCTGTATCTGTATAGCCGGTATAACCACCCTTCGGCGTAACACACCAGTTTCTGTATCTGTATAGCCAGTATAACCGCCTTTCGGCGTAACACACCAGCTTCTGTCCGATTCTTATTTTGAATAAACCATTCATTCATTAATTCATTCAGGACGCCCGATGCTCGCTGCGGCTCGGATTCCTCCCGAAGCAACATCGATGTGGAGCCGATTTCTCCGCCTGCGGGCGATGGACAGGACTCGCAACCCGGATCCGAACCGTGGCAGCCCCGTCCGCAGGACATCCCGACACCCAGGGGGCAACCCCAGCCCCCGTACGGGCGCCCCCCTCCCGGCGCGAGCCCTGCCTGGGGAGCCAAGCGGGCGTCCCCGAGAGTTGGCACCAACCTGGAGGACATCATCCGCAAGGCTCTGATGGGGGATGACGAGGAGACGGAAGGAGAAAATCCTCAGCAGCAGCCGAGGCCGAGCTCCACGCACGCATACGGCCAGCAGATCCACCAGGTGAGTTATTATCAATCAATCAAAAATGGTTATTATTGCTAAAATCAACAACATTGCAGCAGAAAGCTGAATTGGGTTCATAGATGTACATCCTTTTTAAAAGCATTGACGACGGCACAATCTTGGAGTCAAACTATAGTACATTGCACATTGAAAAATATTTACACGATATTACATAAATTTAACATAATGAAATTCAAATTTTGCTCACTCACATTTTTACTTTAAATATCAAAATTACATTAAACTTTCATATACAAATTGCTAAGATATGTCAGAGTTATGTCACACTCAATTCAGCTAAATTGACTTAGCTGCTTATGTGCAACAGCTGTAAACTGTATTGCTAAGTGTATTTTTGAATGTTTGAAAGTAAACCATTCTCTCTCTCTCTCTCTCTCTCAGGTCTCCTCAGCATCCTCCCCGAGGGACGGATCCATGCAGAGCCGCATCCTCCGCCAGCGCAACGACAGCGAGACAGAAACCGAGTCGGAAACAGAGACCAAAGAGGCGCCGCCCGTATCGGCGGACCGGAGCCGGTCACCTCGCAGCTATCCCCCGAAGAAGAAGCACTCGATGTCGTCCGAGGGGGCTTCTCCCCGCGGCCGCCCAGACATGCCCGGCCCGGCGGACATGTTGGCGGCGCAGAAAGCGGAGATGGCGGCAGCCGGGCGCCTGCCGACGCCAGAACGGTCCCGTCTGTCCAGTGCGGCCACTCCGCCCCGGTCAAGCCCTCGCCCTTCGTCAACCGACGCTCCAAGCGCTTCTTACCCCTTCTCCGCACTCTTCTTAAGAGGATCCATGGGGCCTTCCTCGTCCCCTCTCCCCCCAACCTCCGCAGCGGCGCAGCAGGGTCTGCCCCCGACGCCAGGCGGCGAGATGCCGCACGAAGCCGCGCAGAGGACGGCCCCGTCGCCTGCAACATCCACCAGACACGACGGCGAGCCGGCACCGCTCCTATCCTCGCAGTACGAGCCTCTGTCCGACACCGACGAGGAATCGTAAACTGGTATCAATGGTGTGAAGGCCACACCAATGTTACTCTTTCCTGGTTGTCAAATTCTAAAGAACAGCTTATTTGGAATATCAACATGAATAAAATAAATAGCAATATCTAAATAAATACTACACGAAGCAAACATGACAAATTGAAGGACACTACAATCTTTTTCCTGGTTGTCAAATTCTGAAAAATAAAACAAAGCCCATTTAAAATGTCAACATGAAAATTGAAGGACACTCCAGGCTAACTTTTTCCTGTTTTTTTCTGAAAAATAAAACAATGCTCATGTAGAATATAAACCAAAAGAATTCAACATAAAAGAAGGGGGTAACATAAAGGTTTGTTCCTTGGTTCAAACCTTGGATGTGGAATCCGATGTTTTCAGGTTCAAGTTTTTCTCTCAGCTATCTTTTCATCCTTTCTTATTGAATTTTGAACTAAGAATGGAAAAATTGGTGTGGCCTTAAAACAAGGAGACACTGACTGTGTGGCACTTAAAGCTTGGTGCAGTTGTATAGAGAATCGGGAGAAAATAAGATATGTAACAAGTTAAAATTCAATAATTGTACCTACATTATGCTGTATATTTTCAAGCTCTACTAGAATTAAGGAGAAAGTGTTTAACTATTTCCCTAGTTTATCACTAACTTTTGTATGGCATGTTGCTGACGCTTAGGGGTATATAATTATAGGCAAGCTATGTGAATAAAAAATCTTTGTTTCAAAAGAAAATGCACTTTGGAAATTTGAAGAGAGGGGCTGGTCAGGGAAAGGTTTTCCATGTGTCATAGTGACACCACCAGGGCAAAACTAGTGAGGAAGAAATACAGGGTTGATAAAATTGTTGTGTGTATGTGTAAATAAGAAAAAGCCATTGTATTGATTGTGCACTAATGAGCAAGTGGTAATGATGTTGTTGAACTTGTGATGTGTCTTTAGCTTTTTGACGCTGTATGAGTGGTGATTTCTCAGCACTGAAGACTTGAAACAACAGTTGGATCGTCCAACCATAATGATAGCAGAGCAGTGCTTTAGTACAGGGAAAACTTACAATTCACCTCATGTTAGAAAATGTGAAGATTGAGTCCACAGAACTTCTTTACATTTTGGCTGTTGACAGTATCACACATATGGTGAGGATGTGTGTAGAAGTGATTCAACATACAGTGCAGAGAATTTGAATGATTTTGGCCCCCCTTTACAAAAAATTGCTGGCAAAACTTTAAAATAAAAAAATAGCATTATTTGTTTATATCTGGCAACCAGCATATTGATGTGATGTGGCTCTGTCACATAGTTTACAAAGCTCTGTACTAAAGTGCTATAGAGCCAAGGGAAATTCTGCAAACTCAATTGTTAAGCAAACTTACTGACATCCCAATATAGGTACATGTATGAAAACTGTACAGTCTGGTCAAAATACTAGTAATCGGGGCAACTTCAAAACCTCAAAGTTGAGTGGTTGTAATGTTAAAAGGTGTATTGGCAAAATTTAAGTTAAAATTATATTGCAAGTTTACGAATTAAGACAAATGTATAAGATACTATATTCACTTTATACACATTTGTTTAAGGACTTGAAGTGGTGAGAGCTACATTGTACCTTGTAGTTGGTAAGTGAAATCTTAATGTATGATGTTAGTTTGCTTCACAATGGCTCGTAGATGGGCCAACTAAATAATAGGTAAATTGGCAGGTTGCATTTCAGAAATGGTGTACTTTTGTAACAGTGTATGTAGCTTATAGACTTAAGATAGTCTCTAATTATTATAACTGATTTTTATCCGTATCTAGCTAATCTAAAGTGCCAGGACGTAGACTTTATGTAGTTAACTGTTTTAGGTTGAGTACTTATAACAGTAATTCTTTGTGTGCAACAATTAATATGTGTCCTCTATCTAGTGCTGAATTAGTGTCAAGTTTTTGCTAAGGCCACCTCTTTTTCCTTGCTCGGTTATCTGATAGAAATATAGCCATTCTGTTCAGTTCTGTACCACAGGATTTGCTTGGTTCAAATTAACGAAGAGGACAAGCGTTTTCTACAGTTGTTGGTGCCAAAATATCATTTTAGACTAATACATATCCTGATACGAGCACCCTCCTTCAAGTGATAAAAACTGGCGAATCTTAGAAACAAGACTTGCATCATTGTGGCCACTGTCTACATGTAACAAAGATATTTTGTGACTTTGTAGCTTTCAATAAACACTCTTCAAATATAGCGAAAAGTAGGTTAGGTAGAAATATTTTCTGATGTGTTTAAAGAAAACATTGTTCAGGGCACACGTGCACATCAGCCAATACATTGACCAATTCACTGCCAGTGTGCGTTAAATCTAAGAATAAATTGTGCTTTGAATATAGCATGTCAATAATCAGTTGCATTTCATATACTAGTTTTCTCAATGTTAAATTGTAACATACTTAGTAAGTTGTATAATCACTATATATTTGCTGTGAACTACATGTACCAGTATATTAAGAAACTTAGCTTAAATATTTTGATGTTCATAATATTACTCACTTTGCTTGAATACTGAGTATAGTATGGAATTGTCTAGTTTTTCGTTATGTTTAAAAGTGTGCCTTGCTAGGTGCAGAGACAAGGAGGGTTAAAAATCTTGGTGCATGAGTGAATGATAATTGACCATTATGTAATCTGTATCCCAAATAATATTGGCGTGGAATAAACTTTGATCAGACCTAGTCAGTGAAAGGCACGATGAATATGAACAGAATTGTCTCCAGTGATATTTATACATTCAATAATTGCTCTGTATACAGCTTTTACTACATGTATTTGTGGGGCCTTCATTGCTAGTCATATATAGACTAAGTCACTTCTTTGCCTGTAAAGTCCTAACGATGCCAGTACGTTTTCGTCATTGTCAGTAACGTCACATTGCAACAATGTTGAATATAGAAGCTTGTTATCAGCACTTGTTGAGTCGTCGGCCTTTTATTTGAGCTACCACTTGATGTGTCAAAGTAGGTCTTGTGGTAAAATTGCAAATTGTGTTGTTTTACGCGCATAACCCGAGATATACGTTCTTCACGCAAACATCCAGTGAAGAACCTGTGTGTTACTTTTGCCTGATATTTGTCGAGAAATGATTGCGCAAAGCCCCTGTCAATGTCATAGATTTGTCACGAATTCGGCCACCCGAACAGTAGCTGAACACCATCCAACCATGCATGATTAGGAGTAGATCGGCGCATAGTCGGCTGGTGTTTGGAATGTTTTAAAAATGTTCAAAACATTCAGACATGATTGGTTGGTGCTCGACTGTAAGCTTAAGGAAGATACATAGGGTCTAACGTAATCTCCTAGCATATCTATGAGCGGCTGCAAAGACAGTGTAGAACTGGCCAGGCTGTATCCATTGGCCAGACAGTTTACCAATGACCACTGTCTGGCAAATGGATACAGCCTGGCCAATTTGATACTGTCTTTGCAGCCACCAAAAGATCTACTCGGAGCTTAGATCTAACCTAAAACGTGCTTGGTCTAACGTAGCCAGAGGGTCCAAACAGTCAGCAAACCCTGAAAAGTGGTTGAACCGGTTCTTAAGCAGCCATGCGCACAAACTGTTACGCACATACACGCCCAACATTACCATATGAAAAGAAGACACAGTTAACAACCGTCTTTTCCGAGTATCCTATCTCTACTAGCAGGTCAGGCGAGTCGGCTCGTGTAATTTAAGACATGGCGGCCTACAAAAGCGTGAAGATGCTGGATGCCGCTTCGCCCTCAGAGGGTCCGGAGGATCTCACGGATCCTGAAGAAATGGTGGACTTTCTTCCGGCTGAGAGTGGAAGGTGGGACGTAGTCTAAATATGCCTCTTCGTTTTGTAGATATGTATAGGACGTTACATGGAGGTCCCGTGTTTGAGGAGAGCCACACCCCACGCACGTTTAAGAACCCACCACACTTATCGAAAAGAGTAGGGGACCTTCCCGGTGTGGGTGGTTCAAACCTTACAGTCCGGTCTTACGCAGCTTACAAATACGCATACATGTACAAAACTGGTGTGTTACGCCTTAAGGCTACCAGTTATGCGAAACAAAGATAACATTATAGGGGGAGGGTGTGACTTGTTGAATGCCATTATTTCAGGTACATTGACCTAGCCTGCACCGGGCCTTTCCAAAGGGGGTGAGGATACTAGTGAATGAATGAATGTTTATTTACGTGTCATTGCGACCATACGTTGCCCAGCCCGTATGGGCTTATAAGACACCGACAGTTATAAAATCATAAGAACTCAAAAGGTACAGAGAGTCAGAATCAGATATAGCATAAATTATAACTTAACATAATATATAAGTAGAGGAATAAGTACAGGAAATTAAGTAGTAGTTTGAGCCATTCGTTATGTATAGTTATTTACCTCACGAAAGTCGCTGCACTTTTGTTGTGTCAATGAAGTTCTCATATTCATGGAAATATCTCAAATCGGCCTGACCCTTACCTCTTCACATGAGTGATTACGAAAGTACAGGATTCCATCCTACGTCTGCTTGGAGATGTAACGTCGGTTAGCCCCCCTCGCGTGAGGGCCTGCAATTCAGCACAAAACCGCACGATGGCCGGACTTATAAGGTTGAAACTTTGTATACACAACAAAAGCTATGGCGAATTTCGTAAAAAAAATCAGATTCAAACGAACTTCAAATGCTACCTATTAAACAATAAGGACTAACAAACGTATATGTGTAACATGTCATTAAGATCAGATAGGGCCAATCGGGGGTTTCAATATCTTTTATAATAAAAATAAGTATTTTTGCATTGTGGAAGTTGTCATCAAGTGTATTTCGGCATAGGGAGAAGGTGGATCTTGCCTGAATTACTGTACTCTCAAGTTATATGATAGGGCAAAGCCTTAATATTCTCTTGAATACTATAGACTGGTTCTATTGGATACCATGACTTGCTTTCTGTGACCTATATACACAGTTCTGCCCACCTAGACAGTCTAGGTGTGTTCAAATAAGGGACTCCTGGTTGAGCGAACTTCTAAAGTACAAGCAAACATCCGGACGTGTGCCGAGTCACA